TTAGGAGTTTCCTCGTATATGGGCAAAATCTTATCAACATCGGAGCTCTGTATTATATAGCTCATATTATATATTCTTGATCAGTATTAACAGCCGCGTCGATATAACCATGTCCGTCTGTCTGTTTCTATGCGAACTAGTCTCACAGTTTTAAGGCTATTGTCATTAATCTTTGCCGAAGTGCCTCTTTCTGATGCACGCAGTATCAGATATAATTTCTTTCATCTTTGAAAATTATTTTTTAAATGATGCTATAACCATTTACCCATTAGATGTGTTAAAAAAAGTATTAAGCTTGAGGACCTGGTTTTGTTAAAAGAAGATTCAGGGTATACCATAGCTGACACTCCAGATTCTTTCACTCTTACTTTGATGTTCGTTTGCATTGTTTGACTCGTTTTTAACGGTGTGAAGTACAAACAATGTTGGTTCGCTTTTCATGGAAACTTGTAACTTTCACACTTCCGACAATACGCAGATATGTGCGTACAAATGCATATAGTTGTTTTTGCGCTTTGGAAGCATAATAAACGGAAAAGTAAAATAAATACGCGTTTAATTAAGTTTTTAAATTGAAAGTGCAAAAACATATAAAGCAGGCTGCCGATTTTAAACCAAATAAATACAATTAAATAGATCAGATTAACAAAAAACAGAAAATAAATTACATTATAATTTGTTAGTGAACATTTTCAAAAAGTGTAAAACACTTTATATTTATATTTAAGTAAGCCTCTAAATTAAGACTTATATCTCTATATATTGGTTGGTGATCAACGCACAGACCAATCCGTCAGAGTTAGGAAGCTGAAATTTTCACTGTAGTTGTGATAAGGGTGCACGTTAAGACGGGGTTTCGGAAAATTCCACCCACAAGTGTGGAAAAATCGCGAAAAACGTTTGTATCGTTTTCAAAGATCTTTGTTCAAATTCATTTGAGTGGTGTTTCACACTTTTTAGAAAATCCATACCTCCCTGGTGGAAATAGTGGTCAAAGATATGGTGGTAAATTGGCGAAAAACGGTGAACGCTGATAAAAGTTTACCATCAGTTTAGCAGAGATATTTGTGAAAATGTATTTGAGTTTTGATTTGATTCTTGGATGATATTTGTGGATCGAAGGTTGAATTCGCAAAAATTGATAAGAAAATTCATTGGAGACATATTTTACACTTTTCGCAATTATCGATGGATAATGCGGGTCTTACATTTTTTTTTAAGGGAGAGTTAATTTGTCTTCTGCTCGGGCTTTAATTTACTTTCAAAGCCCTACATAAGAAAATAAAGAACAAGAGTTTCAGCGATTTTCGAAACTCCACCCAAAAGTTTGTTTTTCGGGTCAATGATTTACACCACAATACTAGAATGGACGATATCCGTTAATTCCAACTGCATGGACCTTAAACATATTGCAAATATGATTATGATAGTATAAACAGAGTAACCGAGGAGAAAAAGTAACATACAAAAATTTATCACAAAACTTGTCGCGGTGAAGGCCGGGTAGTACTTAGTAGAATATATCATTATCACACGTTTCATGTCATAGGAAGGCGACAATTAGCCTGACGTTGCGGACTTAGTCTATAGTAGAGGGGACAACGCTAAATCCTCTCCTTTTTTCGCGTGTAAACCAAAAGATATTCCGACTTTGCTAAACCAGTGTTGCTATCCACCGGGTTTGAAACACCGTACCAATTGTCGCCTTCTTTTGACATGCTCACGTAAAAAGTGCCGATAAAACCCATTAGCAGTGGTTTTTCGAAGGACCGGTCTGCGTCACCAGGGCCCAATAAGCTTGCAAGACACCGGCCCACAACCCCGAAATACAGAGCATGCTTGTAGCGGTAGCTTGGCGCTGGGCTTAGGATATCTTCTTGTTGGGCACTCCCGACTTGCGCACTCTTACTTATTTTTTTCTGTACGCAAAAGAATTGTTTGCATGGTAGTTGCACTCCCTTGCTGATAACATATCTTCGTTTTATCAGGGTATTGCCATTAATTAATGTTTGACTGAAAAGTTTTAACAGGAAACTAAATGCGTTTGTTGCACAAGCGTTCGCACATGCTTCTTAAATTGAGCACACCCAAAAAAAAATAAGCTTTTCCTTGCAATTTGATGGAAATAAAAAAGCAGATGTTGAAGTTGGCAACAGTCGTATTGCATACACACATAAAAACAACCATTTAAAACGAAAATGAACACATGACTCATAAAAAGGTATCTTGAGGGGTGGGGGAAAAAGGTTAAAAATGCATGCAACACTGGAAGGGAAACAGGAAACAGTATGAAAGTTTAAATGTGCAACTGAATTTAAAAAATGTTTTTCATTTCTCGATGAATTTGTATAATAACATTAAGCTGCAATAAACATGTTGCGTTTATCAAAACACTTACTAAAGCCGACGATATGCGTGCTTTTACCCAGTCGAACATATTTTATTGCATAGAGCAACGATTTGTCGGTGAGGTCAAGAGCCAAAACATATGGCGTTGCAATGACGCGAATATTTTGAAAACCATTAATATCCTTCATTTCCCATGACATTGCAACAATATTTGTATACTCTGTTATACCCCAAAAAATGACTCAAGGGATATAATTTTCAATGCCCATCTAGGTGACCTCTCTAACCCTCTCTGGGCAACAGTTTGCAATTTTGGTTTATTTTTAGTTTTTTTCACACCCTAACTATAGATTTTCAAAAGACTCTTTTAAAAAGACCGACAACTTATAAACTCTTGCTTTTTCGGACCTATTTTCACCTATTTAATTTCAAATGATCAGTAGCTGACCCAGCTACCACAAAAGCAATAAATGCCGATTTCACGACTTTGTTTATTTTATTCACCACATCTCTGAATTTATAAGAGAAAGAGTTACTTAATATGGGGTGTAGACTCATGTGATATACAAAGAATAAAAATATTTAGAATTTTGAATATTCTACGCCATTTTTTTAGTTAGAGCATTGCTTTTTGATAAATACACATATTTTATTGTCATATTTAATTCCTATAAAATTTCGTAAGGGTTGATTTTTATAGGGTTCAGGAAATAACAAGAGTGCTCTAGTCGAGGGTGCATCCTGATACACTGAATCCAGATCCGCGCTGGCCTTACATACATTCGCGCTTCGAGCATATATAAACAAATAAAAGGTTCTAGTCGGGAGCTCCCGAATAGGTGATACCCTGAACCTTCTTCTTCCAACATCAAATGCATATATATATTCTATTTTAGCAGCTATATCTCAAGTTTGGTGACTCTAGCTCTTATTATTTACCAAAATTGCCCAAAAAACAGGATATCGATATCGATTTTTATCGATTGCTTGGAAACGGAGTAAGTTATCGATTATCGGAAACAAACTCGATCTGCGCGGGAACTAGAAGCATCTACATCTAAACATAAAGTCTGTAGCTCTTATAGGTTTTGAGATCCTTGCGTTCATACATACGGACGGACGGACGGATAGACAGACGGACATGGCTAGATCGACTCGGCTATTGGTGCTGATCAAGAATATATATACTTTATGGGGTCGGAGATGCTTCCTTCTGCCTGTTACATACATTTGGATTTTGCACAAATACAATATACCCTTATACCCATTTTTGATGGGTTCAGGGTATAAAAAGAACAGCAACACACTTGAATAAATGTTCACGGCTAAAGCTGTGCACTTTACGCTGTGCTTTTAATTCCTTTTGTTCTTGAAAATTGTCGGTGTTTAAGGTTCGATCAATGCATTCAGAGACTTAAGCATGCAGTTGTGCTTATGTGCAAAACACATGGCGCTACCCTTACAAGAGTTATCTAGTTGGCAGGGCCTGACTAGTAGATACCCTGAAATCTGCGAAGAGCTAACTTTTTTACACTTTATAACTTCTTTCCATGCAGAAAATCACACATATATATGCTAAAGGCTACATTTTTGACTCATAAGTAATACGTTAAAATCTTAAGCACGTATTTTCTGAATATTTAAAAGGAAACCAGTCGGAAAATAACAGAGTTATTTTGGATTTGTCTACATACTAAATTTGTCGTTTCTAGCTCCTAGAAGCTTCAAGATAGGCTTCATTTAGATATCGATCTAATGCAAGCAGGGCAAGTTATCGATGACAATAGTCTCATATTGTTCTACGATGCTTAAACTATGTTCGGAAATTCAAGTATCCAACTCTTATAATCTCTCAGATCGGTACGTTTATACATACGGACAACCCGAGGATCTTGGCTAAATCGACTCGACTGTTATTGCTGGGCAAGAGTACACGTGTGTCCTTCTCTTGCACGAGCACAACGGAACGATACACTCCGTCTAGCTAGTCGCTCAGCCGTTCATGAACGATGTATTCTAATCAGCAGTTCAACCGTTCATGAAAGATGCATTCTTTTGAAATGTTCAGTTGTTAATGAGCAAATAAAATAGTGGGATTTTAAGTTCACTTTTGATTTGTTGCGTTGTAAGTATCTATTATCAATGGTACAGTATAATTGGTAAAAAGTTTACATATTTTTATTTGACTCTGAAAACATGAAAAATAACTGAATAGAAATTATAGTTCGCATGCGATTGAATAGCTAAGCAAAACGAATCGTTCATGATCGACTGCATAACTGAACTAAACGAATAGGTCATGACCGACTGACAAACTGAACGAGTCAACTAAATTACCGATTTGCAAATGAATTATTATATAATATTATTTCAAAAACGAATTATTGGTATGGCTGTCGACTAGAGTAGGTAGCAGTCGCTGAGTAGGGCTAGTCGATAACTTCCGAATAGTGCCCCTTACTTGTTTGCTAATCATATCTTAACGAAACTTGGTATTATATAGCTCTTTTGAAGGAATCCGTCAAAAATGAGTTTTTGTTTGGAAAACTATTTCACCAAACTCAGCATTAACGAGCTACTTAAGCTTAATTTTCTACTACTTCATTTTCAAAAAAAATATAATCCGTATTCGCATGTTGTACTTCTTACAGTGTTGCAAGCCGTTAGCTGGGAAGAGTGGTGGACATACGATGGCATATCAGGTAAGTTATCAGATTAAGTTCAAAATATTTATTAACATATTATTAACAAAGAACTAATTATTTCCTAGGATCCTTTAGCTCTTTTTATTTCCGAAATATTTTTTAATAATCGTTCGACATTTATTGACATCAGCGAAACAAGGAAAATTATGAAGAATTTCCCCACAAGATTTTATTATTCCAATTTTTGAGTCTCTGGTCCTATGGCCTCTGAAATCAACGCGATAATACAAACAGACTAATGGATAGATAGAAATGGCAAGACCAACTTGGTTTTTGATGCTAGCAAGAATATACTTGTATACTTTATGGAAAGCTCTGTTTACGTGCTTGAGATTACCATTGCTCTGCCACGACTGAGTGTCGCACTGACATATATGTGAATGTCACCTCATATTCTTTGTTGCCTTATTCAACATTGGCAACAATGTTTGCGTGAAATAACGTAGCATACTTAGACGCGCTGGCACCTGTCACAGCAGTCGGTCTCGAATTGCCAGTTGTTTTTGTAAAACTTTACCGGCGACTAGAACTGAACACGTGAGTTGTACAGTCAAGCATAAGAGCCAGGGAGGCAGGCTTTGCTAGCTGGGGGGGTTTCGCAAGTGAAGACGAAGTCAATTTGCAGCTGTCTAAAAAAGCCGACGAAGTACGCCATCAGATGCTGGCCATAAATAACTTTACTTGTTCCTTGATCCATTGTTGAACTCTACATCTTGATAAGCGGGCGCTGCAATCAAATTCATTCCCGACACGCTTCACACTCGGATCCCTACTCGGCACTTGCTTAAAGTTTGGAACAATTTTCAATGTGTCTCAAATCAACCGACTAATGTGAATGCCTCCTGGATGATTATAGTTACGCATAATCCTGTGTGGCAATGAAGTCAGAGCAAAGGCGAGCAACAATCCCATTGCACAATATTATTTTTAGTTTTTATTCCCCTGTTATGCAAACAAGCCTCTTAGTTTTAAAGCTTTCGTCTTAAAACTTTGCAGGCAGTGCAGATATCGGATACGGACGGATTATAAAGCTGCCATATCAGTCGAAAAGCATATTCGTGTATTGAACCTCGGCAATTATTGTTTTCTCTATGATGCTTGTAAGCATCAACCTACATTTTATGGAGATCGCACAACTAATGAGTTTTTGTATGGCAAAATATTTTCTTTTCTACGATATTTTCAACAATTTTTTTAATCAGCATTTAAGATTCTAAAAGAATTTCTAAATGGGTAATCAGCTTTCAGCGTGCCATAGATATCCTTACTTCTCATACAATGAATGGGGTATATTGTATTTGTGCAAATGTATGTAACAGGCCGAAGTAAGCATCTACGACCCCATAAAGTATAGAGTAGCAGTTAAGAGTTAAGTCATTGACTATTTGAGAGAGCGGTTATGAGTTTCTTGGCTAAAGCTTACTTAGTTTGTTAATTGATTGCCTACAACTCGAACAAAGAGGCTTTTGGGTGTGTTATGTCCGCCCAATATGAAAGACCGGAATAACATGTCATTGTACATGCCAGTCTAAATGTTTGTAATTTCGGCTGTAAAGGATTGGTAATAAATATATTGCATGGATGTTGACAGTATGGATAATGAGTAGATAATATTTTCGGTACCAAATATATTATTAAAAACTTTCGTTTCACCTCGAACACAGGTACTTATACCATGTACCAATCGAAAATGTGTAAAAATGGTTTAATGTTTTTTTTTTTTTGAAAATGTCTGTAACAGGCAGAAGAAGGCATGTCAAGATCCATAATATAACCCTGCCTTGCCCGTGGCACATATAAAATGAAATTTCACAAAAAGCTTTGAAAATGATCGGGTGGTAAACAAACAACTTTCATTTAAGTATATATTACTTAATACATACCGACAGATAGACGGACATGCGTCGACTTGACATTTTGAGCGGAGGTCCTCCCAACGCTAGCATAGTGCAAGTTTGTTTTCGATAATCGGACAATAATTTTAAAAACAGTATAGATATATACTCACCGCATATTTGCAGTCGCAGAGTTTTCTATTCTTTTTTATTTGTTTTCTTATGCAGCTTATAATACAGGTTCACTTAGTTCTTCATGCTGCTATATGTGTATCATTGTCATCGAAGCTCTCCATAAGGTGAAAAGGCCCTTAGCATCAAAATAGGCGCACCTTGGCAACAGTATCCCTGATGCTCTAACACGTGTTGTCAACAAATTACATCCAAATCTGTGCGAAGAAAAAACACGAATTTCTTAGGCATGAATAAATTTGCATAAGTATTTCATACATACAAAAGTGGTGTTTCTGCAAAGCCGAGTTTGCCATGGGCACCAGTGGGACGGTTTGGCACTTGCAATGGTGTTGCAATTGGCCGTTGGTATGCTAAGCAAATGGAAATGCAAACTACTATAGCTTTTTGCTTGAACGCGCTTAAAGCACAATTATGGTCAAAAATATATTTATGTGATTGATTTAATGGTAAACATAAAGATGATTAAAGACAAGGTTAATTTGCACGATTGACGAGCCAAATGTCAAAAGCATGTTAAAAGTAGCGAACGAGTGGCAGACTTTAAGGCGTCCTCATCCACTAATGTTTTAAATGGTAGCTAAAATCACTTGGCGATTGCCCCATTGACTTAATATAGCCCCAATTTAATGGACCTAAACTGCAGTTTACTCTAGATACCGTTTAGCGATGAGGTCAACAATCGCTAAAAGAGTATACGTGGCATATCTATGATTGATGCTTTTGATTGAGGCTGCTGATATAACCGCTAGAACGTGTTGATTTCCCTATGTCTTCGATTGAGATGCGATGCGCGAAGCTCAACCGCCAGGTCGTTGCTCGTCCAAGCTACACATGTGCCATATAAGTAGAGCCAGACATGCAATTATGTTGCCGATGCATGAAAGAGTTTGCTATGCAACGTGAGAGGATGATGAGATTCAAAATAGAAGGGTTGGTGTACATTTGTTAGGTGGAATTATTAAAAGCCTCATAAATAGTAACTGCCTCACTAGGAGATACCCTGTACCTTTCGCCGAGTTTCCACAACAATCATTCGTTCAACTTTGTATATTACATGTACAAAAACGCACACGCCCCATGCGGGGCACCATACATAGTAAAGGGAAACATCTGCACTCCATAAGCAACATTTTTTATACATATGAATATACTAGCTGCTGTTTCCTGGGCTTTTCCAGTCCCCGTTTTCTGCTTCATATGGCTAGCAAAGATATTTGAAAATGAGTTTAAAGCCTGTCAGATGTTAAACGAAAAACTTTCATGCAACTGTTTTCCTTTCGTTAACATCTTATAAAGGGCTGTGACAATACGTTTGAAGCTGATTGGACGAAACATAATACCTCGCATTTAGCACCTTCCTATTAGCTATATGGTATACAATTTTAATGAGCTATTGATCATTTGCAATCTCTTAGATTTTGAGAGCTAGAATTACCAAAATTTGACAAGTAGATTCTAGAATGCAGGTCAAGTATCTTTAAATTTTTTATCTATCACCACCCCCGCCATCACCACATAGCTATAAATACAATAAATAAATCAATTGGAACTAACCACCAATTTAAGCCACAATTTTAATGCATTGTCTCCTTGAGAATATTCGAATGATCTATAGCACGATAAGATCTACTGCAGAAATTTTCCTATTGAAGAAACACAGTGTTGACGGCTTCAGTAGTTAAAGGGATTGATTGACAGACAGACGGATTGTTGCTTCACTTCGAGGTGCATTTCGAGCCTATATTTGATCTACAGTTCTAGTTAATCGATTTTTTAAAAGTATGGCATCCAGAGCTTTGAGCGTAGTTGTCAGGTTGATCCATTGTTTACTGACTTTTCTAATGCCATCGATAAACTCAGCCATTGCGTTCTCGTTAAGAAATTGTCTAGGCTGGGCTTTAATTCGTTTCTATTAAACTGGTAAAGTTCCTATCTGTCTGATCGTTATTATCGCTTAAGCATTATTAATTTTTTGCCCGAACCCTATACAGGCATTGCTGGGAAGCCAATTTAAGGCACAATAAATTGATGTGTTAGCGGCGGCGGCAAGTAGTGCGGTCTGTTGTGCGCTCGAAACTTACTGAGAAAACTATTTGTTTTTTTATGTCTATTTTTATTACTACTAAAGCAAACGACCGTGTAGCGCCAGCTGCAATTGGTGTTGGGTTCAGGGTATCCCATAGTCGGGCGCTCCCGATTGGAGCCTCTGACTGTTTCATTACTAAATTTGCCAATTTAGCGATGGTATCTAAGGTATATATACAGATATATATATCTGTTATATGCTACGTACTGTTTCACACTTTCCAACCTGTATTCCATCTACTTTCTACATTGTTTAGAATAGAGAATGTAATACGATGATGTGAAAACTCCAAATTGTAATGCCTATTTATATCATCGAAGAGAGTTCGGAATGGTCTATTTAAGGCAGTGTTAGTTGGACAACAGTTAGGAGATCCATATGTAGTAAGGCAGAACATTTTAAGGTAATCAATCGTGTGGAGTCGAGTCAAGGACATGCCAGAGAGACAGGTAAAGAGTGGCATGGTCTTACACGAATTTTCAAACACCTTGGACCGCCGCTGGATGGAATCCAGAAAAGTCTTGGGCTAATCTACAGCGGTCGTTACATGACAGTTGAATTTAATTTTATGATTCAATATGACATCGTTGACATTTACTTCACTACCGGTACTGTGTTATTTACGAGAGGTTAGCAGTCAAATATTTACCAACCTATTTGGGGCGAGTTTCTACAAATTCACTTCCTTGCATATATAAAAGTTAAGATTTAAAAAATTAGCTTGACTGTAAGAAGTCTATGTCGCCTTGGAACAGAATACAAGAAAAAATCGTTATACTAATGACAACCATATTTATTTCTTTATTACAGGTCCCGCTTTTTGGGGTCTCATCAATCCGGAATGGTCACTCTGTAACAAGGGACGTCGTCAGTCTCCGGTGAATCTAGAGCCGCAGCGATTGTTATTTGATCCGAATCTTCGTCAGATGCATATTGACAAGCACAGGGTAATATTATACAGTAAACATTTTTGTCCTAAATTGTAAATGCGTTTCATAATATTCCGACTGTATGGTCTGATCGTTATAAACATTTAAGAGCTCAAATATAGAATCCAGTAAAAACACTTTATTGCCATACTGTGTTATTTGGTTGGTTCGGTAGAAAATCAGTGTTTTTAAGTCGACGCTAATATCATTAGCCTTACAATATATAGATGGGACAGCTAAAACAAAAAAGGTAGCCATTCTCTGGATCAGGTCCCCCAACGAATTGTGTTTGTCCGAGTCCGAAACTCGTTCACTTGCTCGTTCATGGCTAGATCGACTCAGCTATTGATGCTGATCAAGAATATATACACTTTGTGGGGTCGGAGATGCTTTCTTCTACCACCCCCCCTCTCAGTTTTAAGGCCACTGCCATGAAACTTTGCCATTTGTTTATTTACTTAAGAAGCATTACACCGGAAATCCCTTTATTTCAAATTTTACACAAATCTCACAAACGATACTTATTTATATCCTCAATTTAAAAAAATATTTTTCCTTCCCCAACAGATAAGTGGAATTATAAGCAATACTGGTCACAGTGTAATTTTTACAGCCGGTAACGAAACTGTGGCGAATTACGACGGCATGCAGACACCAGTGAATATATCTGGCGGTCCACTTTCTTACCGTTATCGTTTCCATGAGATACACGTACACTACGGACTTAACGATCAATTTGGCTCCGAGCACAGTGTTGACGGCTACACGTTTCCGGCAGAGGTAAGTTACAAGGATTGAATGACAGACAGACGGATTGCTGCTTCCCTTCAATGTGCATTTCGAGCCTATACAATTTTTGCATCCAGAGCCTGGAGCGTAGTTGTCAGGTTGATGCATTGTTTACTGACTTTTGTATAGACTTCGATAAACTCAGTCATTGTGTTCTCGTTAAGAAATTGTCTAGGCCGGGCTTTCATTCTTTTCTATGAACTGGTAAAGTTCAAATCTGTCTGATCGTTATTATTGCTTACGCAGTAATAATTTTTAACCGCACCTTATATCGCATCTTCTGGGTCACTTCAGGGAAGCCAATTTAAGCAACAATTTTAAACAAATTGATTTTTTGAGAATATATGTATCGTATGCTATACTCTGTGTATATGCTGCTCTATGAATTCCGTGCTTTCATATCCTTGCAGAGGGTATTATAATTTTGTCGGAAAATGTGTAACGCATAGAAGGAGACATCTCTGACGCAATAAAGTATATCTATTCTTGATCAGTATCAACAGACGAGTCGATATGGCTATATCCGTCTGTCTGAAAAGTAGGTTCTTGTATGAACAACTTTTTTGTTTATCAAGATATCTTGACCAAACTCGGAATTTATTAGTTTTACAATACTTCTCATATATATGTGTCCTTCTGTGGCACGCAGTACATATGTCGGAACCGGCTGGATCGGACCTCAATATCATATAGCTACCATATGACCGATTGATCGAAAATTAAGTTGTTGTATGGAAAACTTTTTTGTTTTTCAGAATATCATCGGCAATAACTATTTTCTCTGTGCTTCTTAAATAAGGGCAAAGAACTATGAGCAATTTGAAAAGGTTGGGTTTCCAAGGGTATTAAATCTTCGGCGTGCCGAAGATAGCCCTTCTTTCTTGTTTTTTTTATTTATTTTATTTTTATTTATATATTTTTATAATTTATATGTATTACTGCTAAGGCAAACGCACTTAGCGCGAGCTGAATTTGATTTTGGTAAAAAAGGGTTCCGGGTATCCCCTAGTCGGGAACTCTCTACTAAAGCTTTTTATTTATTTTTTGTTTATTTCTAGTTAATGGGCATATACTAGCTGAGGGGCTTCGCTCAGACCATTTATTAAAAAAATCTTAAGCCGCATGCTGGGCAAAAGGCTGCGAAAAATGTGTAAACAGAGTAAAAGGTTCAAGATTAAAATGTACCACTTGAGATGCTTTTGTGGCCTGCTAATTTGTCGAGCCATTTGCAGATGCATCCTGGCTATGTGTTCAGGCAGCTGGAACTGATTGTCCTTTCAGCTGCTCGTTTGCTGCTTTGGTTGCTTTCTTCGACTTTCCTTGTGTTAAATGATCTTTATTGATTTTACTGCCCACTCCATTACAGATAATGTCTTCCAGTAAAGCAAAGCCTTCACTGGCGGCATGTCAACAAATGGCAGCAAATTTCTCTCAGCCATTGTTTTCCTGCCTTTTGCTTTCGTTATATTTTTCTTTTTGGCCTGGTTCAGTTCTTGTGACCATAATGTGCAGCTGTTGCCAATTTGTAAGTTGCTGTATATTGAGCTTATGCGTCTAATTAGTAAATGCCAATGGTGATTAACTCATATTACAATTCTGCATAGAAAAACAGATGGGAGACCAAACGAATCAAATTGTTGTACAATATATGGTAAGATAATTTAACAGCTGTTATGAAAAACTAGAATATAGCCCGTACCTTAGCAAGACTCGAACTGATTATATAAAAATATATTCAAAAAATATAAACAAATGGAAATAAATAATTGTTTTTATCTTAAACCCTTTTGTTATACCCTGAGCCCATTGAAAATGGATAAAAGGGAATAATATTTTTGTGGAAATTTGTGTAGAAGGCAGAACGAAGCATCTCCGACCCCGTAAAGTACACATTTATTTATTAATTGAAGCTAACCATCGAGTTAAAGACTAAATGATAAGTGAATACCAGTAATGGCTGCTAGGGTCTTTAGAAAGATAATAGTAGTTTTAGTAGAAAGATAAGTAGATTTATCGGAGTATCTAGACTTAAAACAAAAATTTCTTTGTTTGTTAGGGTGAGACAGAATTGTAGTATAAGTTTAAAGTGAGTTTGTGAAGGGTATGTTGTTCTTTAAATAAGTGTCTTGGGCTAGTTAAGTATGGCCTATGTTATATTGAGGACTCTTATTTATATAATCACATGTGCAGTAAATTGGGGTTTATGTGCTTACCAAAGACAATAGATGTAGGTAGATGTAGGTAGATGTAGGTGCTCCTAGTGCCCGCGCAGATCGAGCTTGTTTCCGATGATCGATAACTTACTCCGCTTCCAAGCAATCGATAAAAATCGATATCGATATCCTGTTTTTTGGGCAATTTTGGTAAATAATAAGAGCTAGAGTCACCAAACTTGACATATAGCTTCTAAAATAGAATATATATATTCATTTGATGTTGGAAGAAGAGGGTTCAGGGTATCCCCTAGTCGGGAGCTCCCGACTAGAACCTCTTGTTTCATTTTAAACCCTTCATATGGTTGACTTTCTAAACTGCAAGGGCATTGTTCCTTGTACAGGTACATACACACGCATACACTTACAGTATTTTTAGAAATTAAGAGATAGCATTGCAAGTACGCTAACGCAGTTTCCTGTAGTGGGAGCGAAATAAAAACATCGATACCGTTCTCTCTTACAAATCATATGGATTTCTTACTCTCCTGCTCTCTGAGCAAGTAAATATAGGGATCGAATTAAAGATACTGATTTTCTACCAAGACCACTAACAAAATTAGTTTCTTTGGCAGCAAAAGTCAATGCTGTGAATAACAACACATTCAAATATGATTAGATGTATTTAAGATGTTGTCAGATGATGATGTATAGATGTATATACACACATGCAAACATATTTGCATGTGCCGAAGCTGAGAACTATAAAATGAAAGATACTTGCTTGATCTGTATATACTAGTTTAGAAGCTACATGTTAAATTTTGTGACTCTTTCTCTTAAAACCAAACGATTTTTAACGATTTCTCGGAAACGGGTCAAGTTATCGATTATCGAATTCAAACCCGTCCTGCGGGGGTACTAGGAGGAGCTAAGTTCAAAACTCTTTAGCTGTTAGAGGTTTTGAGATCGACGCGTTCATACATACGGACAGATGGATGGATGGACAGACAGACCGACATAGCGGGATCGACTCGGCTATGCATGCTGACCAAGAATATGCATACATGAGGTCGGAAATACTTCCTTCTGCCTATTAAAAAACCATTAAACCCTTTCTACGCATTTGCAATGGGTTCAGGCTTATAAAAGATACGTTTAAACTTTAAAGAGATGTTGCATCTGCTAAAGAACATGGCGTCCAAGTTTGCTTTCCTTTTTAAACGTTTTTATCTATACTCCAGCTGAGAACTTGTTGTACTCAGTAGCCTTTATGTGTTTTGGATAAGGTATTTATTCGAAAACGTAATGGCTGCAGTTGCATAACTCGTGTATTTTGTGCTATAAACTCATACTAACTGTGTTGCAATTTACTCGTCAAAATTTCAGTTTTCATTTACGGCTTGTGCCTCGGCTCCTTTGTTTGCGCTTCTTTGTGCAAACACTCAACAAATTTGAAAATTTTAATTTAATTTAATTTAATTTTTGTTTGCTTTACTGAGCACATATTTAAATTGCAGCATGTAGTTTTAATATTTAAATGAATTTGCATACCCTCCCAAGGGTTATAATAGATTTCTCTTGTGTAATGCAGAATAAAAAAAATAACAGCGACCCCATTTAGTCGTTAATTGATGGTTATTTTATTTCAAATATTTAACCATGACTTTGAGCCAGCCAGGTAAATAACATTTTTTATATATGCTAGGCTGTAGAAAAAGAAACCTATTTGTAGTATCCTAATTTCTATCTTTATTTAAAAATGTTTGATTTTCCGGGTAACGTCAACAATGTCCGCTCCATTTTGTTCAATGACTTGTTGCCATTATGAGAATGAAGAATAAGTACTGTTTAATAGAAACGACCAAACTATTTTCTCAGTTCTCCAAGCAAGAAAGGAAACTTTGTTATGACAAAAATTTAGTTTATAGTCGCTTGACACCAGCCCCTAACTATACGGTGAATTAAAAACTTGCCAATCAAGCTCCCTGAGTTTTCGGCGAGACACTATTGACATGTGTGGTCTGACTTTGTCAAGTTGTTGAATCAAACACAACAAATGCCTTTGTTAATAGTACTAAATGTTTTTTACTCTATGGCTTAAGGCACGCTGGCAACTGACTTCGTTGCTGGTGTCAGCATCAACTGGCCGCGACTTTTGAAATTTTCAACGGTTGTTTACTATCTGATCAGCTTCAAGGTCATTTTTAAAGATCTTTGTAAAAATTCAGTTGTGACGGATTTATAAGCTTTATAAATGCGGGAGAGAGGGTGAGGTTTTGAGTTATGTCCTATTGGCTTCAAATTTATTTTCAAAACACCCAACAAAAGCAAAATGACTGCGTGTTTTAGCGATTTTTGATATTTTCTGGCATCTGTGGATATTTCTCCAAAAAATGTAAAACTTTTTTGTTTACCATCGAATCGGCTTCTAATTAATTTTCAGAGATCTTTGTGAAAATGTATTTTATAAGTTTTTCATAAAACCCATCGTTCTTGGATGGAAAGCACGGGTTAAGGGCTTAAGAACAAATTTTATTTTATATATTTCTATTTGTCGATATCCAGATTGTCACCACAAGGCAAATATGGGCGGTAACCGTTGATTCAAACTTAAGGTTCTTTATTCAATAGACTGTAAACTTATTTTTTATGCAAAATACAAATTTAGAAGTTGAGTTAAAGGTGGACTGCGGGCGGGAAATACGAGAAAGAGTTATATCTAAATATTAAGGCACAAAACTTGCTACGGTCTACCCCGCGTAATACCAGATAGTAATATTTATTGCACAATTCAATTCAATATTTAATACACACGTAACCTTTATAATTTATTTTTTCCCACTGTCTCCGTGGCTTTTCAGATACAAATATTCGGTTATAACTCACAATTGTATGCAAATTTCTCAGATGCCCTGAATCGTGCGCAAGGAATCGTTGGAGTCTCCATTTTATTGCAGGTAAGCTTTCACACGTCTCACACTCGTTTTCGAAGGAGTTAATTATTAACTAGCCACTTTATAGCTGGGCGATCTGTCCAATCCCGAACTACGAATGTTGACCGACCAATTAGAACGTATTCGTTATGGCGGCGATGAGGTCTTTGTAAAGCGGCTGTCTATACGTGGACTCCTGCCTGACACAGACCATTACATGACGTACGATGGGTCGACAACGGCTCCGGCCTGTCACGAGACAGTCACTTGGGTGATTCTCAATAAACCAATTTATATAACAAAGCAACAGGTAAGTGGCAAGTAAAACGCATAAGTCCATGAGGTATTCTTTTTTGTAGCCTGAACCAAAGACAATATAAAATGTTTAGATTGTCTTTGCCTAAACCCATTGAAAATGGGCTAAAAAGGTATAATGTACCTGTGCAAATGTATGTAACTGGCAGAAGAAAGCATCTCCGACCCAATTATGTATATACATATATTATTGATCAGCATCACAAGCCGAATCGATCTAGCCATGCCTATGTCCGTCCGCATGTATGAATGCAAGGGTTTCAGAACCTATAAGAGCTAGAAACTCAAAATTTAGAATGTAGATCCCAGTGCCCGCGCAGTACGAGTTTGTTTCCGATAATTGATAACATACCTCGTTTGCAAGTAATCGATATCGAAATCTTGTTTTATGAGAAAATCTCGTAAGTTATAAGAGCTGGGTCACCAAACTTGACATGTAGCTTTAAAAGTAGTATATATATATATCACGTATCTTTCATTTTATAGCTATCACCACCTCACCGCTACTATCTCATAGCTATAAATCAAGTAAATAAATTTGATTGCCCACTAATTTAAGCCACAATTTAAATTTAATAGACCTTTTGAGAATATACAAATGTTCTATAACACAATAAGAAAATTGCATCAAGATCGGTTAAGAAACACAAAAGTTATTAAAGAAAATGTGTTTTGGCAGCCCACACACACACATTCATGCGCGTCTTTATTGAATTCTTTCAGTAGCATTGCAATTGCGATTGTTTTCTGTGCTACTTTTTTAATCCGTTTTTTTTTTCTCAAGAAGACTCAATTATTGGTGTGGCTGTTGAGTAGAGGTGGCGGCAAATAGTTGCGAGTTCGAATCCCGCTATATTTTTTAAATTTATTTTTATTACTGCTAAAGCAAATGTGCGTGAAGCGTGAGCCGCATTTGGTGTTGGTAGAAGAGGGTTCAGGGTATTCCTAGTCGTGAGTTTCTGACTAGAGCTTCTTACTTGTTTTAATTTTAAGAATTTGTTGGTATGGATGTTGAGTAGAGGCGGCGGCAAGTTGTGTGGTTCGTTACAAGTTCGAGCCTGTAGAGTGTGAGGGAGCTATTTTTTTTTAAAATTAATTTTTGCTCCTGCTAAAACAGACGAAGAGAGTTCAAGGTGTTCCTTAGCCTGGAAGTCCCGACCTTAGCCCCTCAATGGGTATTTGTGATTTGGTTTACACACACTTGAACGCCATGCTTAGTACTTTAAAGGGCTATAAAGATCGATCAGCTAATCAATATTAAATTGCCAATAGTGTGGCGCAGGAGGTAGAATCAGCGTTGCTGCTACGTAAGTTGTGTATTTGGCCACACACATGAGTTTGTGGGTTGTACATAAATGTGTCTATAAGTACCTGGAAATAAAATGGGGCTATATTTTATAATTTGAAGAAACTATGCGTTTTGATAAAAACCATAATATTGTACTATCTGTTGAAAACATGGGATTTTTTAGTTGACCACAGCCGACTATAGTGTACTTTTTTTATGCCTGTTAGATATTATTTATTTGCATTCGCAATTGTTTCTTTATGGCTCTTAGCGATTTAGCTTCTTAATTACTAAATTTTCTGGTGTTGTGTGTTTTAATTTACACAAGTTTGAAATAAGATTGCTTCTCGAACTAAAAGACAATAAGAACAAAGAGACAGCGACTTTAACTGCAAGTGATGGCCACTTTTTGCTTGCGTTCGTGCGAGCAAACAAAAAAGGCAGCATACAAAATGTAATGCAAATGTTTATTAAGTGCCGCGCTGTAATAATGACGCCACATGCATGGCCGTCAGGCAGGGGATGGCTGCGGAGAGTGTTTGGAGTAAAGCCAGGAACCAACGTTGTACATGTAAGTTCAGTAAACAGTGATGAAGCTGTGACCATACACTTGCATATAGTACAAGCAGCGCCAGCAGCTCTGACGGCTGAGGGGGAGCAGAAGTCAGAGACGGAATAGGCAGCCGCCGAGCCAGACTCATAAAAACTTAAACAAGCGCAATGGCACCCAAGAGACCATGGTTACAACTTCTGGCAGCACTCGAACTCTCAGACGACATCAACAATAACGGAGGGAGTGAATGGAATAGATCCAACAATGGGGCAGGAATACTCTGCTACGCGGCTGCACCTTGCTAACAAAGTATAATTAATCAAATTGGAGTTACACTCAGCCCACTAAATGTGTGAAGCGTTGTAGCAAAAGAAAATAGACGGGTACCGATCAAAAATGTGAGGCAGATACCGTCGCAAAGAAAAAAGAGAAAGAGAGAGAGAGAGAGAGAGAGAGAGAGAGAGAGAGAAAAGCTAAGGACTATTGCTAAGTTATCTGAGTAAAAAAAAATTGATATTATCTCATAGGCACTTGTTGGATTACCCATAACCGCATATTGCCCACTGTACCCACTGGAAATTAGTAAAAAGAAGAGCTGTTGTGCAAATTTGTCTGAAAAGCGTAAGGAGGCATCTATAGCCCCAAAAAGTATACTGTGGTACATAGTTATTTTGATCAAGCGTTGTCCGTATTTCGTCTGTCTGTTGTTTTGCAAACTGATCTGTTATTTTCAATAAAATCATCATTATATTTTCCAAAGGTCTGTCGCTTAAATTAGGTATCAATGTCAATGAATGCATCAATAAATGTCAATTTAAAAAAATGTTATTTAAACATATCTCCAAGATTTTTCGGTATCAAGAATACCGAACGCTGACGATTACGATACGCGCTCGATTACTTCAACAGAAATAAAAATAAATTAAAAACAAGAAAAAAGTGTTCCATCGGTAGGGTTCGAATTCGCAACAGACCATGCTACTTGACGCCGCTTCTACTCAATATCCACACCAATGATTTTGTCCAGTTGAGAAAAAAAAACGGATTAAAATAGCAGCACAGAAAACAAATATAATGCTGTTGATAGAATGTCTGTGTGTACATGTAAATAAAAATTCCTGCAATTTGCGATAATGACTTCTTTTTTCTTTACTAACTAATGTGTTTCTAAACCGATCTTGATAAAATTTTCAATACTCTTAAGTGGTCAATTGCATTTATAGCTATGAGGTGTTAGCGAAGATGTGGTGATAGCTATAAAAAAACGTGATATATGTATATATACTATTATAGAAGCTACATGTCAAGCTTAGTGACGCTTGCTCTCCTTATTTACCAAATTTGCTCAAAAAACAGTAGATCGATATTTATTTTAATCGACTTGCTGGTTATCGAAAACAAGCTCATACTGCGCGGGCCCTAGGAGGACCTACGTTCCAAATTTCAAGTGTCTGGTTCATATAGGTTCTGATATTCGTTCATACATACCGACGGACAGACGGACGGACCGACATAGCTAGATCGACTCGGCTATCGATTGTGATCAAGAATATATATACCTTATGGGGTCGAAGATGCTTCCTTCTGCCTGTTACATACATTTGCACAGATACATTTTACCCTTTTTACCCATTTTCAATGGGTTGAGGGTATGAAAAAGTTAGTTCTTTGTACCTAAGTCTAACGAGCAACTCGCAAGATTTAAAATTAAAGTTACTTGATATGTATACAATTTTAGCAGCTACATGTCGATTTCGTGACTCTAGATCTAAAGGCTTCAGAGATGAACTCAAAACAGATTTCGATAACAATTGCATGGAAACGATCATTTGAAACAAACTTGCAGTGTAGTAGAAATTTCAAGTCCTTAGCTCTTATATGTTCTGAGATTGCCGAAAATTATCCGAAAATCAATAGCTTGTGCACTCTTACATACCCTTGTAGAGGGCATTATAATGTTGTCATAAAATGTGTAACTTCTCCGCCCCAAATATATTTATTCTAGATCATTATCAACAGCCGGGCTCATATAGCCAGGTCCGTCTGTCCGACATTCTGTTTCCATGCAAACTTGTCTCCCAGTTTTTAAGCTATCGTCTCGAAACTTTGGAAACTCGAACTATATCATGTAGCTGTCATAGGTCGAAATAAGTTTTTGCACGAAAAATTTTTTTTTTTATTCTGGATATCTGACTAAACTCATTAGTTATATGTTGTATAGTTCCCATAAGAACGATCTGTCCAAGATTAATACCTTGTAAAACCTGGCAAAATATTGTGTTTTCGAAGTTAGTTTTGAAGAGTTTCTGAGATATCAGCATGGCAAATATCTACAAGGGTTGTAAACCTTCGGTGCTCATTAAATAGGTAAAAAGTTCACTAATTGACCAAATCTTGAGACTTTGTTTTTGGTAGAAGGGTTAGAGTATTATCTAGGCGGAACCACGGACTAGCGCGCTCTTACTTCTGTTGTACTTTGTATGTATGTTTAAAGGTTCCTACAAAACAAGCACAGTTATGCCGTTACATAGGTAAACGGAAGGTGAAGTAGCTTACGGTATCTCAATGTGCCAGAAATAGAATAAGAAACTCAAGAGTTAATTACGAAATAGGTATGTAAAAGTCTTTTAGTTTTTGAGCGCTACTACTATTTGAAGTTTCGTGGAAATGTTGTTCTTTTAGTGTAAGCTGTCTAGCACAAAGATGGTTGCGACTTTATTGTTCCATTCAACACAATATTAAATTGCATTACTTTCAAGCTCAATCCATTTCTATTTTAGTTGCACGCACTGCGCCGCCTGATGCAGGGCAGTCCTGACCATCCAAAAGCGCCACTGGGAAATAACTATCGTCCTCCACAGCCGCTGCTGCATCGGCCCATCCGCACAAATATTGACTTTAAAACAACGAAAACAAAGGCCGCTTGTCCCACCATGTACCGTGAGGTCTATTATAAGGGTAAGTAAAACACAACTAGAGCTAAAAAGAACGCTGTAATCGAGTGTGCTCGGCTACAAACTTCCTTGACAAAAGCGATAGCATCGGCGAAATGCTAAAGAACACTTAATGCTTAACAACTTTCATGTTTGTTGTCCGATCTTAACTGCATAAATATGTCAATCATCAGGCGAAATAGTGGAAGGCATAGCACTTATCATTTTTGAGCTACGTTTAAAAAATCAAGTCTCAAAAGCAATATTTTTATTGACATTTTGAAAATGAGAAGAGATACTGAAAAATGTGAAACACGCTTCACGACTCTAGCTTTTATATCTTCCGATATAAACGAGATAATACAGACGGGCGGACGCACGGAGTTGGATATTGACCAACAATATATACCCCATGGGATCAGATATTCTTTCTTCCCCCTGTTACATACTTCTGTACAAGCCCAATATATTTAAAACGAGCTCGATTTTAATCAGCAAATTCCATATCTAAATATTATCTTGACCAAACTCGGCATTTACTTTTTTCCCGGTACTTCTTAGATACGGGCAAATCACTATGAGCATTATGAAAAGGTTTGATCTGCAAGGGTATTAGATCTTCGGCGTGCCGAAGATAGCCCTTCTTTCTCGTTTAACTTAATTTAACATAGATTATTTTATTAACCTGCCCTTAAACTCTATTTTTCGTGTTTATTCCCCTCCTACTCGTGCAGCAACCAGTTGGAAACAAAACTAGAAGTCAATGCCATAACGTACAGTTTAAAGCGTGAGACGTGAGTAATGTGTGGCTTGCAAAAGGAGCTTCCAATAAATATACATATATAATAAAAAAGCGGAAGAGTCAAAGAGGAAAGCGATCGGGAGAGATTAAAGCAAAATAAATTAAAAACTGGCAACGCATAACCAAATGGCAATTAAAAAATATACATATACCACATATATAGATATACATATAAAAAGACCCTATAAATCATAATAAGAATTAATGGTGATCATTTTTGGATCAGCATTAAAAACGCCTGTTGAATGTTTTTTTTTTTTTTTATAATGTATAAGGATATAAAGACATAAATAGACATTAATCATAAAAGTAACATACTGTATAATGATATAAGATGCACAGTGAGATTGTCGCAACAACAATAAGATCAAATATATAACTACAAATTAAACGTTAGCATTAAATATATATATATATATATCTATAACTATTTATACTCTATAATTATATAACTAATTAAAACTAACGACAGCAAAAAAGATGTCAGCTAGTGGATGTTACTAATATAGTAGACGCATTATGCAAAACCCACCCGTGCTATATACTGTATTTATAAATATATACATACGTAAACTTAGACATAAATATATCTTAAACACACAAATGTAGGTAAGAGCCTAAAGAGCTGTGCGAACAATCGTAACGGCCTTCCCATTTACAATTTATACTTGGCTACCATAATTATTTGAATAATTTAGTCCCAGCATCCTGTTAATTTTTGGCAACTTCATTTTTTTTTAATAGGGGTGAACTTCGGCCCCTTTACATAAAAATTACAAGTTCCTTTTTATATCATTGTAACTTAGGTACATAGAATATGTATATCTGTCAATATAACAATCAATACCAAGTTCAAAATAAATAAATTGTGCTTATTATTTGCAAAATCGAACGTATATTACATAAAGCAAAGTGCTTAAACTACCCAAATTCGGGCAGATGGATGATCCTGTTCAAAACTTACTCGGAAAACAAGAAAGTGCGCTCTAATTGAGAATGACAAAGAGATTATACGTGCTTATCTTTAAGCCCGAAGCAATCATTTGAGCCTACTTCCTTACTTACAATCATACATACACAAAAACACAGATTGTTGAATAATAACACCAAGAAACGAAAAGTGACTACGAGATTTTCATACTTTGTCTCTAATACATTTGGTTGGTCCAGATCCATTGTGTAATAATTAGAAGGAACGGAAAACCGGAATACCGGTTTTAAGGTTATTTAGGTTGGTCTGCAATAGCAAAATCAAACACAAGAACTCAAGCCCATTTACCTTGGGAAGCAACAACAAATCACTTTTTAAACGACAACGAATCGCATGAGACCCGGTCTTATCGTCTTGATCGCCTGGATGTTTGTGCTCGAGCCCCGGTTCAAAGGAAACTACTTGCAAGGAAAAAAAACCTCTAACGACCTTTGATCCCCACTTTCTCATTAATTTAATAGAAAGATCGTTGCAATAAGTTTGCTTTCGAAACTTCGCCCATTAAAACTTTGACCCACACTTTTCATCCACGTTAAACAAATTATTTTTTCAGATATATTTAAAATTTACTTTAAAGCCAATCCAATATTTAACAAGAAAGTTGAAAATTTTCCACTTAATTTTCACAGTTGTTGTTGGAATTCCTAACACCGCTAAAACACTTACTTATTGAGATCTTATGCAGGGATTTAAAAATAATTTGGAAGGCGATCAGACGAATCTTATAACTTTGCCACAGAAATCTTTGAATTGCATTTTCCACAGAGAAAGCTAGAGTTTTGCGAAAAGTGTGAAACATATCTCGAATGCTTCTACATAAGATCTTCGGAAATCAATTTGAACGCGAAACTTCACCCACCAAATCTTTAGCAATCATTTTTATCAAGGAGGAATAGACTTTCCGTAAAATGTCAAACACACCTCAAATGAATTTGAACAAGTATCTTTGAAAATGAGAGTGAATGAGGATGATAAATACACCTTCATGACCCAAGGTAACTACGAACAAAATTGCAGATTCCTCGATGTCTAACAGTTTCGGCTATGCGTTGAACAACAATCAGTCAATCACATATTTTCCTTCTACTCCTTAAATTCTTCATAGAATCTAGAACTGTTCATCATCCTCCTGATACAACAGGCTATCTGAGGGATCAAATTTGACAACCATTGCTAATTCCAAAACAGCGAATGTTGTGCCGGTAAACAAGTATTTTATTTTGATTAAAAAGAAAATTAACAAAAGAAGAAGATTATTATTAATATTGTCGTCGACTGCATTATCCGACTGTAGTCCTCTGTCGCTTTGATTAGGATGACAAGCTGTGTCTATCTAGCCATGTTCGTCTCTTTGAAAACGTCGATTTCCGAAATTATAAAATCTACTAATGTACATCCACGTACAGGCGTATAACACTTTCTATGCATCCTCAAATTTTCATTTCAACAAATATGGAGCATATATAGGAATATTTCAAAGACTCTAAGAGCAAGAGACACTAAAGTTGGCATGAAGTTTCGCGAATAGTATACACAGTTTAAACATTCATCACCACTTCGCTTTGTAAAGATTGAACTATAAACAGCGAGTTATTCAATATCACATTTTCCATAGAGTTGGGCGGAGGTTGTAAGAGTTTTTGCGTATGTATGGAATGTTTGTTAGAACTGGTCAGCGTTCGGGTACAGAGTATTGCCTTCTGGGAGCTATAGACTACAGCACTCTTATTTGTTTGATAATATTTGATAGAATACAATGCAAAATGCAACATTTGCAGGAAAATGCTGCAGATGCGTGTATTACAGATTTTAAATTATTTTGACCACAGCAGCAGCAGTTGCTGTAACTCATCCTCCAGTTTGATATTGAACTGATACACTTCGTGTCTGCACTGCGGCGTCCAGTGCATCCTGGCTTCCCGATTATCAAACATAAAATGCAACATAAAACCACAAAATCTGTTGTGGTTATTTTAAATCACGTTTAAATAGTATAGTAGATATAGAGATGAGCGCGTGTCGCATTTTGCCAACGTGACATTCAATTTTTATTTATTTTTTTTGTTGTTAATATTAAATTTATTGCAAATATGCCATATAACATCCAGACGTATTTAGTGTTGCCAACTGTTCTTTCCTGATTGTTCTACCCTGAACCAATTAAAAATAAGAAGAGAGCGCATAATGTTGTTATGCTAGTGTATGCAACAGGCAGATAGAAACATCTCCCATAAATTATATATCTCTTGGAACTGGACAATGAATTGACTCGATCTATCCATGTCCATCGATATGAACACGACGATTTCCAAAATTATAAGAGCTATAAATATATATTCACGTATCTTATACAAAAAACCAGTTTTTTAGATTTTCAGTATTGGTTTCACTTTAATATAGTTACTTTTTTACTGGAATTCTAGTGTATATTTCTCAAGTATTTTCCAGTGTTAAAAAAGACACAGTCAAAATTTGATAATGTCACACTCCCACAGCACAGTGTTAATTAATCTGGGTACGTGTCACGGAAAAAATAACGAAATCCGTCCAACTCTGGCATAAAATGTAAACTTTTATGGCCAAAAGGGAAATTATTCTGAATAAGAGTCGCTTGGGATATGCTATGAAAAATAGCCCCAAAACCAAACCAGCTTTTTTATTCGGGCTAGGAGAAAAGGGTGAGTGTTGCCATATCACATAATAATTTGTATAAATATTTGCATTCATTTAACAAGCCACAATTTTGATGCCAAGTCCAAAATGTGAAGAAGAGTTTATTGGTCTAGTGCGATTTTTACCTTGCATAAACGAAACTTTCGACGTTGTTGAAACTACAGACTTGAAACAACAATCTTTAAATATTGATTGACTTGTTTATATCCGCGTGAGATAAACTGTTTAAATATTCGGAAACTATTAGCAAATCGGAAAAATCTACAGTGTAAATACAGCTATTTTCGGCGCTATTGAAGCTACAACTCGAACTTGAAGTGAGCAATAATTTCTTGTGTTCATCCACGTCAGATAAAGTGCAAAAATCATTGGACTGTAGACGAGTATTATGCAGTTGGTTGGACCCGAGTGCAACATCCATTCTTGTTCATACATTTTACGAGTTTGCCAATGCTTTTTAGTCGACAGAGTTTCACCGCAGCAAGGGATTTGTGAATTATGACTGAAATTAATAAATTATTTTTACCTTGTATCCATTGAAAATGGGTAAAAAAATATATGTGTTTTGGGCTAATGTATGTACAGGTAAGGAGGCATGTCCAACCCTATTAAGTTGGTATATTCTTGACGAGCACGAAAACGCTTTGTGCTTACGATCGACGCTTAGAATTTTTACTAAATTTGCTATATGAAAAATATATTACCTTTGATACAATTGCTTAGTTTTAGAGGCAAATTATAAAATAAAATAGCTCCTCGAAAATTGGTTCTAGTTTTAAGTTTGCACTTAACAGATCAAGTCTTAGTCAATGGCGTGCTTTGGTTCTTAAATTATAAATTGTTCATGTACTGTTAAATTCGAAGGATAAGCTAGTTATTGATATACCATAGACATTTTCCTAAGTTGTCTATCCATATTGATACCTTGAATCATTTGTGCAATTGAATATGTTGATGTGTGTCAGACAGTCAGGATTTCGATATCGATTTTTATCGATTAATTGGATATGGCGCAAGCTATCAATAATCGGAATTAAGCTCGTACTGCGCGGAAAGTCTCTAGCTCTTATAGGTTCTGATATCCTTGCGTTCATACATACGGACAGATGGCAGGATTGACAGACGGACATGGCTAGATCGAGTGTGTTATTGATGCTGATCAAGAATATGTATACTTTTTGGACGGAGATGCTTCCTTCTGACTGTTATATTTGCACAAATACATTATACCCTTTTTACCCATTTTTAATGGGTTCAGAGAATAAAAATATATTACTTTTTCCTCCAGCACTTTTACTGTTGAACGACATTCTCATACTTAATTGTCGTCGACAAAAAACAAAAGTACGACAAGGAAGCTGACTCCCTTTTTTACCGCTGTTTCTTCCTCCTTTTTTTTTTACTTTCATTTTTTTAGACTTGAACACTTTGCGTTTTTAT